TATGCTTTGTAGTTTTAGAATACTAGGTACATGGGAACAGAATTTGAGTGAAGAACTTAAACACGTAAAATTATAAAATTATTGTTATTTTGTTATTTCATTTAATTTATCTATTGAAGCTATCGAAAATATGGACAACTAATAACCAGCTTTCGCCGTTGTCGCCATCTCATATAACTTGTCTAGGGTAAAATTTTGTGTAAAAGTAGGTACAAAGTCGTTTTTTAGGTATCGCTTTTAGAGAATTTCTTAATCAATCAAAGTACCTACTTGTTTATACTTTTTTACTCTTTATCCAAAATAATTCAAGGTGACAATTAGAGGTAAAGTTTGAAGATTATGTGCACAGTGAATACCTATCGTAACATTGCAGTGTAATGAGCAGTCCAGATTTATTAGACTATGCTAAGACTAACTGTCAGGTAAAGGAAGCCGTGTAAGGTGTTTGTATTGAATTCAAACTATTCTTGTCAACTGTGCCGGAAAAAATTATGACAAACTATTTACTTGTTGAAAAAGAGTTGAAAAACTGGAGTGTTTAGAATACAATATACTTCCCTTGAAAAATAAATTCAAGAATGATTCAAAGCACCTAATGCACGAACGTATTTGTACCTATATACAGCGGTACCGCTTTATTGTTGACTACTTTATTTGGACACGCCATTTCTTCATGAGGGCTGCATTTGTTGTCATTAAAAAGTTTAATCTACATTGACATGGAATTACACACTGGTAGGCGGTGTGCCTATATATTTATTCAGATTATTAGTTATTCACACCATTGATGGTAGGTAATAAATCATAAACATCAGGATTCGAAACGGAAAACAGTAGGTATATTGCACAACAAGATTTGAAAGCGTAGTTCTCTTCCAAATAAATGGTTTGTCGCCATAAAAGGCATATGATTGTGAAGAACGCTTTTTAAATGTGTCGTATGCACCTTGCAAATGAAAATTGCCCTTCTGTCAATAATTAACTTAACAATGCTAGAAGGTTCTCAAAAGAATGGCCCAAATACACCTTCCTGAATTGTATCCTATAGGTAAGTTGTAAGAAATTAACAGCTACGAAACAAAAGTGACAATAGCGAATATTTTCGACTTTTTGATTCTTACTCTCGTGTATATTTGATATTTTGTACGCCAGCTAGGGATTTCCTTTGTAAGTTATTCTTGTAATAGATTTCTTATTACAATAGTTCTTTGTTTTGCCGACGGGTGTCATGGAGATGTCTTGCATGGTAAATGGCTAGATGTTTGGAAGGTACTGAAAATTGTCCTCCATTTTGGGGCGGGAAGTTTCAATTGACGAAAGATTTTAAGTGAGTCAGCAGATGAAATGCAAAGATTTAAATTCGGATTTGAAATAAAAGAATTTTTTTGTAATACTGCTTCCAGCGCGTGGTATACGAAATAAATCAGAATTTTTGTTGTTACTGATACATCTGGTAACCGATCACCAGGGCATTTCGTCTCTGAATGAAACTAGAAACTAGGGCACAACATTCACTTCATTTTCTACAAAGTTTTCAATTTGAAAATTGTTGTGTTCTATCGAATTGAGGTAGATAATTTGTCAGTCACCCATTTTGGGGCGCTTTATTGTTATCTCTTTCTAACACATGGGTACAATGGATTGCGGTATTTTCAAACATCTAGTAATTTTATTCCATGGTACGGTTAATATGGCGACAATAGGTGTCTCATTTTTGATTGGTTGGTGAATCACGTGGTATACGGCAGCCATTTTGTGGCAAACTTTTAAATTATTTTTGTAATATGTTGTGGAGTTCCGTGTAAAAATAACAAATTACTACAGATCTCGTTCGTTATCCGAATTAACCGGACAACCCGTCACTTGTATTGAGTCAAATTAAGCCTCAGGCTACACTCCTGCATTAAGCACTTCAATTTGTTCCCCATAGAAGCTACAATTCTTCACAACCACAGTTTTGTGTCACAGTTGTGTTGAATATCTTCAATTATTAAAGTATTCCAGTGGTAATAACTTTGAATTCATTATCATGATACCTTCTATCATTAATTAATATACACACCGTATAATCAAGGTTTGTATGAATTAGCCACAACATGACGGACTCGCTCAATTGTCGCCACTGTCTTGTATAGACTCACTGTATTCCATGGCGTTTCTAATCCCCTCCCTTCTTTTCTTTATGCTTACGCATTCGCTGCACTTTTTCCTTTTCAGTGAAAATTCTGCCTTCGTGTTGTTTGTTTGCAAATTATTTTTCTTCGGTACGCCATTGCTTCTCTACTGACTTTGTGTCTACCTGGATAAGGGCTTAATAGTTTTGGCTGTTACCATATATCTTTGGAGTGCATTTCTCTTTCTTTCTGATGTCTGTGGCTGTGCTCCATTGAAACGTTTTACGGATTTGTATTTGCACTTAATCAGTACGAGGTGCGTAGATTTATGGCGCACTATTTTTTAATACGTAATTTTTTAGGGCTTTCATTTAATAAATCGCCTTCGTCTTCGCTTAGTGGTACTTTGCAACCATTTGCAAACACCACACTGGTTACCTTCGCTTCAGACTTTCTCCATGCATGTAGTTTACATACCCACTCCCATGCCTTGTTTGGCTGTCCTGTCCAAAGACAAGCAACCCTAAAAGCGTTTTGAAGTTGCAAAGCACAATTGTCTTAATTGTTTGTTACCTCGACACGCTCTTGCAAAATGCTCGTCGGAATGGAATTGTCGAACCTGTGATTCTCACCATCACACTGTTGCATTTCCCCCTGCGGCTTTCTAGTCAATTGCTCAAGCATGTTTGGAACTTCGCAAATGGGTATCCAACTGCCTGGGCGTTCTGGATTGTATTTCAGTGCAATACGTTCATTTGAGTCCAGTACGATTAAAATTTGGGGTCTTCAGTGGCAATGGTCCTCCGATACTTTCGATTTCATTGTAAGTTCTCGTGACATGCCTTGTTCAAAATGTGCGATCTTTACATAGGTACATGCGAGGGTACATCGCGCGGATCCATGAACCTTTTAGGTTTCTCGCCCCAACTTTCCCAATTTTAGAAACTATGGTTGTTTGGAATGTTGAACCGCCTCACGAAATGGTTAGGGCTTGGAGTCAGTTCAAGTCTGAACTTCATGAACTCTCGCCATTACAATTGCCTCGTAATTTCTCTACGTGTTCATTACATGGTTTCTGTGATGCTTCCGAGAAGGCTTATGCCGCTGTCGTTTACTTTTGTTTTTGCTTCAAGGTGGAACTGCTACTACTAGATCTGTAATATTGTAAGAATACATAGGCGAGGATTCGGTGGAATGGAAGATTGTCCTTTTTGTATCTTTTAATGTCTATAGAGCATTGTTTTCTTAATGGATTCCGGATGTCTGGAGGCGAAATGTCGGTACTCAGTTATCTTAATTAGGGCAACTTCGAATTCGGAATGCGGTCATTTCAAGATCGTGGAAACTGCATTGATTCGAGCTATGGGAGTATCAATTGTGCGACTCACCCGGTAATCTAAGAAAAAATTTTTTCGAGTCGGAGTAAATTTCTTTTCTCGAAGATTCGCTACTGAGCTGTGGAGGTATTAACCCTAGAATTCCGAGTAAAAATTTAATTTCGAGATTATGGGCCAGACCGTGATATTATAGAACGTTAGTCACCAAGTGAAGTATGCGCATTATAAGAACGATTAATTAGCTCCGGCTAAAGAATAAACGTATTGTATATTTCGTATAAAAGTTAGTTGGCAGAGTTCAAGGTGACAATATGTTTGTTAATGAAGGATAAATTCAAGCACTAATAATCTATGAAAAAACGAAGTCTTTCCCTTTGAGCATTTTTGGATTATAGGGAAACATTAACAGCATAAAGTGATTTACTAAAACGATTAAATTCCTCGACCGTCCCCATAAATTTGTATAATAAATATTACAATTGAATCGGTTATAAGGCGTTAAACGAAGTTACATGTTTGACATACTACTAGAAATGTCATCTTCAGGCTAATAATAAAATAAAAGGTGAAATTGAAATATCTTAAAATTTAAAAGTATCGCTGCGGTTCCATGTTGATTTAAATTGAGTAACGTCTGGTTAATATTAAGATATTGCTAAATATGGGTAGGTACGTAAAGACACAAGCGCACCAGGTAGGATCGCCTTGGCATTTCATTTAATAATCAATATGCTTTTTTAAACGCATTTTCCCCATGGTTCCTACATTCCTTTCAATGCTATCAATTTTGGTCGCATCTCCCCCTGTTAACGTTTATTTTCGATTCAATTTTATTGTTTTATCATTCGCCCCCACTTTAACAATTATGATGGTTTACACTATGAAACAAGTGTATAAGGTAACCAAAATTTTCCTCGCAATATAGTAGACAATAAAAAACCACCAGCGATTCAGTATCCCAAAAAATTCCATTACGTTTTCCATCTTGGAAGAGGCATCTGACGGCTTTCAATATTAGACCCTTTGTCCATTTGAGCTAGAGTCATTTAAGAAGTATCCATTTCACAGAGGAAACCGATTCAATTTTGTATGCGGCTGAAACCACCGAATTCAGGAAATATTGTTTAAGGAACGGTATTGTTCAATTATCAATTTCTTATTGTTTAAATTAAATTGTTTTGCTTTGGATCCGTTTAATAATCTACCTAAATCTAAATAAAAAAGTTAAGTTTCAAGTAAAAATAGAAAAGGGAAGTTTTTTTTTATTCGGAGTGTTCCCTAAAAATGATTTCATACAGAGCTAGCCGTTGGTCAGTTAATTATTTTTTTTTAGAATTTTCGAGTAAAAAAGTCAAAATTTGATTTCAGGAAGGGACTTTACTGAAAGTTCCGGCGATTTACAACGCGCTGATATATGTCATTTTGACCGTTCGATAAAATGCTGCACTTATTACAAAACGAATTGCCGCATTTCGGTTGGTTAGAGTTTTTTCGTTTTCGAAAAATTTCCCTTAAAAACTGTCAAGCCTATTTTAAATATCTAACTTACCGTGTACATCATCAACACATATGTGTAGGTCCTCTCGAAACGTCGGTATGTGCTGATGACATTGGCAGTTACAGGACCCCTTCGCAACGACGGCATCTACACTTTTAGGTAAAGCTGCAGTACCACTCGTAAATCCCACGCATGTATCTACACTGCACTCCGCACCTACAACAATAAAAAATGCGATAATTTAGATTACGGCCTTTTTGTACTTCAACGCCGTCAATTTAAAGTGCACAAAAGATGTAATGATTTGAAAATAGACCTATTGATTGTAAGTATAGCATTAGAAATGCCATTAACCTTTTAAAGAATGAAAGTAATAACACCCCTTTGAATGCATTACTAGCAACAACAGATGCCAATATAATTAGTCGGTGCCGGTAGTCGTTTCGCTAATGACCCTTGATCAAAGTGATCGCTCGTCTATTATAATTAACGCCGTAATGCAATAACAAACCTTTTCAGGAGAAAAGGATTTTTGAATGTATCGATGGAACTAAGGAGTTAATGCGAGGGTAATTATGTCGGCCGTCCTATTAAAATTATAAGGCAAAAAAGTTAGATTAATCATATTTTGCAAATAAATTACTGGAACTGACAGTTGATTATTTTCACCTGCTTCCAGAAGTTTTGACGTGGTCTTATAATGCATTTGATTATAATAGTTAGTCAATCTATCCCGTTTCACATAGAAAACTTCAAATTAAATTGTCGATGAGTTAAGGTAGAAATGCTGCAGATTAACATATCAAAACGTAGGTATCTTCGAAACTGAGCGCTAATATTGTTAGTTTATTAAAAACGATTGAGAATTCACAATACAATGCTTCCTACACTCTTAGTAGGTAGTAGTTGATATTTCGTTGTGCGTTCCCACCGCCCTTCCGTTCTGCATCTAACATTGATAAGAATTGTGTAACGGTTAATTATAATACAGGGTTCTCAATGATTGATCGTATTATTATATTTTAAGGTTTAACTTTAAATATATTTGTTAAATTTACAAATTTGCCGGTATAGGAAATTTTATACGTATACCGCTTCATAATGAAACACAACAGAACTAATATTCGAGAAAATAAAGCGAGTTAAGATAAGAAGCGAGTGCGTTCAAGCAGACACGAGTTGAAACGTTACAGTGTTGCTGGTTCTAAAAACCGTCGCCACTCTCCGCTATATCTACCTATGTAGAAAAACACAGCCGAAGCTATCTATACACACCCCGTGACTCCGCCCAACTTAAGGAACTGTCACAAACAGTCTTTAACTGATTTTTTTTGGGTCAAGTGCTCGATGTTCTAATCTTTTTTTGAGCGGGTATTAATGTAGATATAAATATCAAAGTTTATTATTATTTTTGGTGATCGATTTCGTCTATGTGGATGTCATCATCAGGCCGTAACTAAAAAATTAAAGTAAGCAAAGTGGTCGTAGAAATGTAATGAATACCATCTCATAAGTTGCACTATTATTTTAATCAGTGCGGAAGGCGAGGTAAGTCTGGGAGTCGCAGGGAATTTGCGCCTGGGTGTAGTGGCAGCACTGTAAAATTCTTATACTTGCTGCAGCTTGACTGCTCACGCAATCGACGCACACTGTAACTGACTAGTCACACTGACACGACTTGAATACCCCGCGTTTTTAAAATAAAATTTAATTTCTATGGCACTGGTAAATATTTTACTATAACAACTAATTTTTTTGAAATGAAATTATTAATACCACAGCAACCTCAATCCTAAATGTTCAATGATTCTTAGCTTCTTTGTCTTTTCTTGTAATTTGAAATTCGAAAACCTTACACTCTAGTTTTATCACTCTGGAATAAATACTCATAAGTTGACTGGTTTGAATATATTAAATAAGATCGTTCCATCATTCTTTATATTGGTTGTGAATTAAAAGATTGAGGTACTTCGTAATATCACGTTTTGAACCTAATTAAATATCAGGATTTTTAATATTCTTAATTAATCAAACACCTGGTACAAATCCCTATTCAAAACAAATGGATGCTAAACTAAAAATTCAAAGCCCACACAAAAGATGCCTTATGTAAAATCCCCAAAAACGACCAATTCTTATTTTTATACAATACAAAAATTCAAAGGAACTTAGTTTTATCAATGCGTGGAAAATTTGATCAAATTTCCGGTTGAACTTTGAGTTGTTCACAATAATCAATTACCGGCGTTCCGCATGTGTCTAAGTAACATTATGCGTGTCACTATGTAATTAGGCGCATTAGGGTTTTAACAGCAAACAAAAGCTTGAATTAAATGTTGTTAACCTTTTTACCGGTAGCCGTTTTGATCGCAAATTTGGTGTATCTAATCAAATTGGATGCACCACATTAATTAATAAATGGTTTTTTATGTAAGTACAAGTATGGCGCAACGGAATGTTTTAGCACTCTGGACCCAAACGCTTTCGTAGTAACAGTTAATTTAAACGCCAAACATATTAATCCAAATATGCATTGAAACGAGAAAAGGTCCACTTCCTTATTAATACGGCACCGCTTCACGATATTCACGTTTTAAGATTATAGCAACCGTCCGATCGTCTCTTTCACGCAATAAATTTTTTTGTCTGCAGCCACGAATTATTAATTTAGTTCTGCTGGCTACTCGAAGCGAATTTAGAAGACACCCACGTTCGTTAAATTTGTTAACAATGACGGCACTGTCTCCGGTTGTGGGGACAATGATTCTTGCACACACTGCGGTTTCCGTTCAAACTTTTAATTAAATATGCGATCGAAAAAAGTAGTTCTCGATCGGCATAGATTCTCTTCGAAGATTTCATTAAGAATTAATCTCTCCCACCAGATTTTTATCTAAGTACTTCGCCAGATCCAAATGCGAAACGGACCCAACATGTCCACGCGGTTTTGATACACTCCAAGATATAGAGGAGATTATTCCTCTCATACTTTTATCTTAACGCGCCTTATTTCTCAAATATAAATTCTGTTTTCTTTGATGATGACACGTATACACGTATAAAGTTTCTTATACCAACAAATTTGTAAATTTTAACGAAAAATTTTTTAAAGCCTAAAGCAACCACCTGCTACAGTACCCCCTTGTCTTTTTTAAACGCGGAAAACTTAATGAGCTTTGAAAAACAATAAAAACCAACGGGAGACTGACCTTACTAACAAAAAATTTAAACTAACTGAAAATTAAAAAAACTCCCAACCTAACCAAAAGCCCCCAAAACCTATTGAAAAACATAAAAAATAAAGTATATACACTTCACTAACTTAATTTCACTTGCATTGGACCGGTATAAGTGATATATTTCTTCGTTTGCCATTGAATTCGATCCGCTCTAATGTCTTGTCTGCATTCATCACACAATTCTCGCATCTCTTTTCTAAAACCTCGTTCATCTTCTCTGATTTTTCATTCCAATTATATCAAGTGCTTCATCATTTTTATTCGATTTCCCTCACCGTGGTTGCTAGTTGCTGTTCTCCTTGAATATTACTGGTTTGCTGTTTCTGGATGTTGTCTTCTTTTGTTTCTTGAAACCTGGCCGTAGTTTCGTATACAATTTATACAAAAAAAAACCTACCTTGGTCTCCCCCTAGATTCAAAAATGTTTCATAAATGAGATACCTTTAATAAATAATATTTACTCCGCCACTGGTAGGGACAATATGGTACATAAACTTTATTATACCAGCAAATTTGCAAATTTAACGAAAAAATCTTTAAATAATATAATACGAAAAATCCTAATATAAATTATATAAACCCTAAGGCGACCACTTGTTATAAGACGCAGAGGAATTTTACGTTGCACTACACCCAGACGTCTCACGCCACGCTCTCACCATGTGGTAGACACCCAGAAATATTAATTATATTAACTTTAATTAAGGGTAGTCTTAACTTTTTTAGGCAACCCATTTGCAATGTGTTTGTTTACATATCAAGATTACTAAAAAATGTATTACACTCGGTAAACAAATGAGCGAAGGGTGACCTTATGTGGGATCTTGCACTAAAAGTTACAGGGGTCAGATTAGTTTGATTTAGACACGGCATCAATACCAGCAGTATACATATAACATATACATACAAATATGTATAGGTACGCCTATATTTTTAAGTAGGTCAAGTTTCAGCTAAAGGCTACTCTTGTAACTCAATTTATAATGGTTTCATGTTCAAACTCGGATTCGAGCCAGGTCCTTTTTGAACGTAACAACCCCCGACTATACCATGCCCAGCTGATTTCTGCAAGTGCGCATTATTACAAACAATTTGAGTCCCGATGCCGAGTTTGTAATACATCTTCAGTAGAATTGTAAATAAGTTATAAATAAGATATATTGTTGCAATGGTAGTTTTCACGCTGCAAAAGCAAGATAAGCGTTTGAAATTTGTCACAAAAGAGTGGAATTAAAAACTGCTTCTAATTTAGAATTAATTTATGTAATCGCGTTAAGAATCATTAGTATAGCGTGATGCGGTTTTAATGTTTACTTTGTATATCCAGTTATTTACTTAACACTTTTATTGTAATATTTTACAACTTAAGTGAGAATTTATAGGACTACATTAATAGACGCTTAACTAGCTTCTGCTTTTAAATTGCTAATTAATTAAACGTAACTAGACGAACGCATTATTTACTAATCACTTTACCTGCGTGTTAATATTGTTTAACAGACAATCAATTTTTGTTGTCTTTCCGCAATCGTGGCTCTAAACGCATTGGCTTAAGGTTAAATCTTCCTGAACCGTAGGCGAATGCACCATGGGGAGTTACCATAATAAGTATATATATGGAAACTTATCCATAGATCTGATATGCCGTCCTATCTCAATTCTTGACATTGAGGTATAAGTTAATCGTAACTGCACGTACTGTATAACTTAGTATAAGTTTCATGTTTGCTTTCTCTGTATTTTATTTTCATCATAAATTGAGTTTTCTTTATCGCATGAATCTTGGCGTTTGATGGAAGATTATTTCAATATTTTGATTTGGATTATATCTACGTACGTCTATTCTATCATTCAGAATACAAAGCATGTTATTGGAAACCAACATCTACTACACAAAGAACAGCAAATATCTATAAAAGAACAAATTTCAAAGCTCAAAAACGCTCGAACCAAAGTCACACGGGGAAGAATAATGTT